AAACTCAGAATTCAGAGGGGAAAAAAGGATGTAATTCTGAGTTTATATCTCACAAATCTGACTGTATATCTCATAATTCTGAGAATTATCAATTCAGAATTGCTCAAAAAAAGTCTGAATTATTAGATAAAAAGAGGCGGAAACAAACTTCCATAGAAAACAGTTGTGCTGCTTAATGGCTTTGTAGAAAACTAATTTCTTTTCAGGATTCTTTGAATAGAAAGCTCAAAAGAACAGCATTTATTTGAAATTTGACATAGAAATCTTTTGTAACATTATAATTGTATTCACTCTCTCTTTTGATCAATTTAATGCATCCTTGCTGAATAAGTATTCATTATATATATATATACACAGAGTAGTCAACATTTGAAGTGAATCAAAAAAGTTAATTAAAATTGTCTAATACAAGAACGCATTTTGGTTTTAGGACAATTTTGATGAAAGGTTTCGATCCACTTCAAATGTTGACTACGGTGTATATATATATATATATATATTGCTGACCCCAAACTTGTGAACTGCAGTAGATGTAATATGGTTCATTTTATAAATATAAATGTTTCTGATTTCTACAGTGGAAGAGATCAAGGAAAAGGCTTTGACGCGTTACAACAGTGTCAGAGTGAGTGAGACCAGTCTATATACAGTATCGACCTTTAAGAGAAAGAATTTGTGTATAAACCTGAACATTTGGTCTTCTTAAGGGTGAAGGTCATGAGAGGCTGGTGTCAGGATCAGATGATTTCACAATGTTCTTATGGAACCCAGCAGAGGAGAAGAAGCCAGTGGCCCGTTTGACGGGTCACCAAGCGCTGGTCAATGAGGTGCTGTTCTCACCAGACACACGACTGATCGCCAGCGCTTCCTTCGATAAGTCTATAAAGATCTGGGATGGAAAGACGGGAAAGTAAGCAGGATGGTCCCAGATCCTTGATTGATTTGGTTGTTGTTGTTTTTCAGAATAGCATACTACCATATTTCTATAATATATGTGCAGTACTACAGTAGTCAACATTTGAAGTGGATCGAAAAAGTTCATCAAAGTAGTTCTAAGACAAGAACGGGTATTGTTTTGGTTTTAGGACAACTTTGATGAAAGGTTTTGATCCACTTCAAATGTTGACTACTGTATATTTCAATATTAATATTAGTATATATAATATGTAAAGTGTGTGCATAGTATGCAAATATTATATATGCTATGAATATCTACATTAGTGTTTGTATTTAGTATTAAATGGATTCATAGTGACACAGACCCATAGTGTACTTCCAGCAGTGTACACTAGAGTGCACTCAAATCTCGTCAGCGCTGGCATATTTAGCTTGTCTGTGCATGGCAACAACCCAGAGAGTTTCTTGAAATATAACATCAAACACATCAATATGTTTTCTCTAACTTCGTGAAAGTGTTTTTAAACGACTGTATAATCCTCATTTTGTTGTTGTTGTTTTTCCAGGTACCTGACCTCACTTCGCGGTCATGTGGGGCCAGTGTACCAGGTGGCGTGGTCGGCAGACAGCCGTCTATTGGTCAGTGGCAGTAGTGACAGCACCCTGAAGGTGTGGGACATCAAGAAGGGCAAACTGAACGTAGATCTGCCTGGCCACGCTGACGAGGTGAGACACTGAATGGATTTAGTTCAGAGGCTGGAGTCTTGCACAAATGCCAGAGCTTTAGAATGACTTCACTTTTTCAGTACACCTACATCAGTTATTTTAGTAGCATTTATATATTATTATAATAGTCATTATTTATAATATTTATGTTAGTAATATTTTTTTATTTAAGATGTAGTAATTTTATGTGCTTTTGTCATTTTGTCAAATTTCTATATATCTGTATTTTTATTTTAGTTTGGGGAATTGTAGTACTTCATCTTATGTATTTATTTCAGATTGTTGCCAAGGCACTTTTTATTTTTCATATCAGCCTTAATTAAATTTCATTTTTATATTTTATATAGCTTTAATTTATTTTTTTGTTTTAGGAATTTTAGTACTTCAACTTAATATATTTCATTTAGTTGTCTAAGCAACAATTCTAATAGTTTTTTTTTTATGTAATTTTCCATTTAAAATAAATATTTTTATATTGGCTTTAATTTCAATTTCAGTTTTTTTAAGTTTAACCCTCTACCGCACGCATTATGATAGACCTATAGAAAAAAATATTTGAATCTTTTTCTTTTCTAAGAATGGCTTAACTTGAAGTGCTGTAAAAAAAAAAATTTGGAAGAAAATATTATTTTAAGGTACTTTATGATATGTTGTCATACGGCAACAGCATACAATAGTGGATCTAACTTAGAATAAGTGTAAGCTTACTTATAATTAATATTTTTCCTCAGAAATGTTGTTTGTGTTGATTTAGTTGGTGCTATTATAAGCTTTAACACAGTACTTACTTATAATTGACACCTTATACATACTTTCCAACAACTTGTGCTTTTATTTATTCTATTCTTTTTTTGCTGAATAATGATTTATAATTGTTTTAATTTCATTTTTCATGAATATTATTTAAACTGCAAATTTATACAGTTAAAACAAATATAATACTGTATATAATGTATCATAAAACAGACATAAACCCAAAAATATTGCAGCTCAGCATATTTCATAATTCAGCATTATGCAATCTCTTGAGAGGAAGACTATGAACATGAGCCCCCCCATCCCACACATACATTTGAATGATTTACCAAAGACAAATTTTATAAAAACTTTTTTGAGAGGTGAACATGTCATCATAACAGTGATGTTTTAGATTTTTTGTAGAAGTGACACGGACTGGTCTTTGTTTGTTACTGACGTTTTAGTTTGCTTTCAGCAACTACCGACAAGAGACAGCAGTCTGTCAGAAATCTCGCCACAGAAAATGTAGATTTGAACCATGTGTAAACAAAAATATAACCTAATAAGTTACAATTAAGGCGTATTGAATGTTAAAATGTGTTTTAAACATAAAGTTAAGTGCTTATCATTACCCATTTTACTCTTAGTAATTTAATAATTTCATAAATTTCATAATTTAAAAGTTTAGTTCAGAAGTATCGAATCGATATCGACGATACTGCCTTGAAAAATATCGGTATCGTATCGAAAACAAAATAAGTGGTATCGCCCATCCCTAGCAACTACCGACAAGAGATGGCAGTCTGTCAGAAATCTCGCCACAGAAAAAAAACTGCATGTCATGTGACTTAATCAAAGCACATCATTGGCTAAACTGAGGTCTTCTCTTTCCAACAAAAAAAACGACAATGTTCTCTTAAAGAGACAGTGGCAAGGAAATGAACACAAAGAGTATGTTGCCATATGGCTACACCATGCGGTAGAGGGTTAAATGTTTTTGTTATGGGCTTTAAACATGTTATTGTTTTTTATTTCTATATAGCTTTTATTTATTTATATTTTGTAGAAATAAATTAATAATAAAATATCTTAAACATTTATTTTGGTTAGTTGCCATGGTAACGCTTCTAAAATTATTTAAACATTTCTACATTTTTATGTTTTTTTATTTTTTTTAAGTTTTGGTAGTTTTAGTGAACTATGACAACACTGACCTACATGTATTTTATATATATATATTAGGGATGTAACGGTATGAAAATTTCATATCACGATTATAGTGACCAAAGTTATCACGGTTATCAATATTATCACGGTTTTGTTCAAATTAGATGAAAACGTTCAAAAAGAACTGATACACACACTGAAAGAAATTCAATAAGTTTTATATTTGAAAATCAACAAACAACAAATACAATTAGCAGCTATATGCACTTATATATAATGAGCCAAAAATTTTTGCATATTTTGTATATTTTACATATTTGTTAACCATATCTTTCTAAAATAGTTAACCAGTAACTTGCCACATTTAGAGATGACTTATGACGGGCCACTAAGCAACCGCCTTGCAACCACATAACAAAATACTAAAAAACACTCCAAATACATTAGCAAACACCACTAATCTAGTTTTCTTTCATTGCTCAGGTTTTTGCAGTTGACTGGAGTCCCGACGGACAGAGAGTGGCCAGTGGCGGAAAAGACAAGTGTTTAAGGATGTAAGTGACCCTACATCCTGCACAGATTATTTATTTCCACACACGCACAATGCGGTGTGCCACGCCACCTGGTAGGAACACCTGGCATGTCTTATCTTCTGTTCCCCTTTAGATGGAGGAAGTAACCCAGAGAAACCAGCGGCTCCTGGCTCTGCACGCAACAGCCAATCAGGCGTCTCAAAGCATCACCCCACAGCATGGTGGACAGCAGTGTCGGAGCATTAAGCCTTAGCCTATTTGTCCAATGAAACCGCTTCGACAGCATCACAATAGCTGAAATATAATGCTCTCTGATGTTGTCGGGCCAGATAGCGGGAAGATAAAACGCTGCCTTTTTTGCCCCACTCAAATAAGCAATTGCCCTGCGGAAGTGCAGGCGAACTGACTCAGTCTAATCGGTGTAATCTTTCTCACACACATTTGTAATTAACTTAATCCCTAATGCTGCGATACAGGCGGCATTAACTGGGTCTGTTCCAGCGCCGAGAGATAACCAACGTCGTCACAGTGGACCGTACTACGTCAGCAGACGTTTTCTCATTTAACAAGCAGTAAAAGGATTTTTATGGGACCCGTGTCGTGTGGCTTTCTTATCTTGAATGAACAACTGTAGAGCATCAAAAACAGTTTGTTGTTATCGCACAGAACATATATGACTTGAAGAGTCTTAAGATGGAATTCAAAGAGTTCGGATCGATTGATCAATATTGGTTACTCAATAAGGTCACAGGGACGGGAAACTGGCCCTTTTTGGTTTATTGAATCTGTGTTGAATTGGTTATGAAGAAGCACTGCTTATATATCGGACACGAAAGCAAAAGTAGCATGACTAGTACAGAATAAGCAACCTTTGTGGGAAATGCTTGTGTTAACGACAAAGAAGCTTATAAACAAATTGTGCAACTTAAAAAAAAAAAAAAGCTGCCATTTACATTGTATAAAAAACATCAAGCTTGAATGCCCTGGTCTTCATGATTGCACTCAACATGCAAGTTTTATATCGAGTATCACGAATGTCTGAGCCTCGACCAGTTTTAAAACTTGCGGCAACATCACGATACATTTGATTTCTTAGAAAAGCACATTTTCAGAGCTGTATATGTAAACTAGGACAAAAGAACATGTGCATTACATTTCATGCCACATAAGTAGACTGTCTCACGACAACCTCTATAAAAGCATGGTGGTGAGAAGACACTTGCACGATTTTACCGAAGTGCAAACTGATGAAACGCTTGCTCATGTATCAATATTTTTGTGCGTCAATAAATATACCGTAAGCTACAGGTTCTTTCTCGTGGCTCAAGCTCCTGGCTTCAACTATACAGACACAGATGGATGGTTTAAATCCTCTAGGCCAGAGGTCACGGTTCAAGTCTGGATCTTTAGACTTGACTGACGCGGCCAACTGTGTGTGGATAGTTCAGTCTGTCTCGATCAGTTCTGCAACCTGGTCCGTCTTCAGTCTGTTCTCCAGACATTGTTCAGTAGCTTTACAACCTCCTCGTAGAGAACAAAGACAATGGCCACGTCTAGACACACTCTGCCCAGTCGTGGGACCGTGCCTTTGTAGAACCTGTGATGCAAAGTGAAAAAAAGTGTTAAGGAGAGGTCATGAGAATTTTCAGTGTCACTTCAATAGGATTTCATGTGAGCTTCAAGAAGGTCACACGAGGGCGAAAGATTTTCAGATGCAGATTTTGCATCAGGTTCAGAGACCGCAGCTTAGAAGAACAGTTGACCCAAAATACTGTTATCATTTACGCGCTTTCAAGTTGAAGAACCAGACAGTCGCTGGTCTCCATTAACTTCCATAGTATGGAGAAAAAAAAAATACTATGCAAGTCAATGGAGACCAGAAAATCTTTTGTTAGAAATTTATACAGATTTGGCACAGCTCAAGGGTGAGTAAATGACAGAATTTTCATTTTTGGGTGAACTATCCCTTTAAGGCTTAAGAATAGAAAATTTCATTCAAAAGGAAATAATGATTATACAGAAAAAAAAATAAACATACGCTTGAGGGCCTTCATTCTTCAAAATCTGGAATGCACAATCTAACGTGCTCTTGTAGCGATGAGCCTCCAAACCCTAAAAAAAAAATATATATATATAT